GTTTTAATTTCTTTATTTAGTCATTGTTTATTTTTTATATGTTTATATTTAATTATTATTGTTATTATTATTATGTAGTCATATAAATATATAAATAAATAATATTTATTTTTATTTTATATTTTATATATATATTAAATAAAAATCCTATTTATAAATTTAATTTTATATAAATTACTTTTAGGAAAAATAATCATATTTTAATATGTATTTTTAATATTAAGAAAATGGTTGTCTTAAAGCACCTAGAAGTCATTTTCTGATATTCTTAAATAAATAAATATCCTATTTTTATTATATATTAATTTATTTTAATTATTTTTAGAGAAATATTTATTAATATTTATTTATTTTTTAATATTAAGAAATGGCTGTCTTAAAGCACCTAGAAGTCATTTTCTGATATTCTTAAATAAATAAATATCCTATATTATATATTAATTTATTTTAATTATTTTTAGAGAATATAATTTTATTATTTATTAATATTATGAGTTGTCTTAAAGCACCTAGAAGTCATTTTCTGATATTTCTATAAATAAATATCTTATTTATTAAATATATTAAATTATACTAATAAATTTGAAATAACAGGATTTGAATAAATTATCCAATAATAGAGACAATTTATAATTAATAAGTACCAATTTTGGGCGTTATAGGAGTATTAATCATTCCCTAAACGTAACCGACCACGAATCCCTTTTTATTAATTTTTTTGGGTTATACGCAGATCAGTTTCTCTTTTAAATTATGTTTTCTTAAAAACTATTTTAAAAGATTATTTTTAGGTATTTGACCTACCTAACCCAAAAATGTCAATGGCGACTCCCAAAATATTTTTTTATTAAAATCATTTATTTATTCATTTTAATTTTTTCGCCAACTAAAAATTCGTTTAGCGCTGAATGATTCCATTAAGAAGCAACAAACAACCCTAAGTGCAAATATTGATAGCATAAGGTCAACATCGATACTCAAAATTAACTATCGATACCTTAAGGAAAGGGAAAGCTAGGGAACCTTATTTTGAGGAGAGATTTATGTGGGGAGCTAGAGGAGTTATATTCAATTGATAATAAACTTGAAAGTGGGAACTTGAATAAATGTATGTGCTTGAATATAAGAAAAATATAATATAAGATTTCATAAAATTTATATCTTTGTTTGACTTCGAAAATGATGAGAACACCTAAATTAACATCTATACGATGGAATTATACATAAAATAATCCTTGTCATCACCTAGTAATGATGCAGTTATTAAAAAAATCAATCTTCAAAATCAAATGATTAAATTAAAAAATTTAAGTGTCAAAAAAAATAAGATTAAAATTAAGTTATAAAAATGACTTAAATATATAAAAAGTGTTCAACGTATGCCTTTAGTTTTAATTTAAAGTATATCTTTTATTTTGTTTAGTTTGATGTCTAACATTTCATTATGTAACTCAATTTGGATCGGCCGTTGAATGTCACATGGGATTTGTTTAATATTAAAAAATAAAATTTGTAATTAAAATAATAAGAAATTAATTAATAGAAATTGAAAAATTAAAAAGTTAAAAACTTTTTTAACATTTTACCCTTTAAACCTAAATCATTTTCGCACTCTTCCCCGTCACTCTGCATAATCTGAAAATTTTGAAGGACAGAAACATGGTTCTCCAAATTAAAGACAAACCATAGGAAAGCTTTCCACCATTAAAGTCAGACCATAGGAAATTACACATAATATTAAGTTAATCCCAGATTCGGATAATCATTAGAAAAACATCTCCCAATTTCCAGAATGAAACAGAGAGACGAAATATTGGATTAAGCCGAAAATAAACGATGAAAAATGAGCAAAAGAATTAAAGCTTTTACCACCAATGGCGATATAAGGAACACGGTGCTGGCCAGAGATATAAACGGCATTGGAAACGACATTAGCCGAATTCTGAAGAATCTGTAGAGTTGAAGGGTCTACTTTAACACCATCTTTCAGGAAAAGGTTAACCACCCTCCACGGAAAGACACTGAATCCTTGGACCCAACACCCGATTCCGAGAAGGCTCCGGATCCGTTTGGCTTTCTCTTTCTCAGCTCGCTTCCCCTTCCCGTCGTTTTTAGCTGACATCAAAACAATGGTAACGATTCGACAGAAAAATGGTTTATGGAAGGGTAAAGGGTAGTGGAGACGGTGGCGAAGAGATGGAAGAGATTTAGGGTTAAAGGGTAAAAAGTTAGAAAGGTTTTTAACTTTTTAATTTTTCAATTTCCATTAATTAATTGGGTAAATTACATGCTTACTCATTGAATTTTATTATTTCTCCTATTTTACTTATTATACTTTTTTTTTTATTTGTTCACTGAACTTTAGACATTAATTTTTTTGATCAATCTACCGTTAATTTTGTAACGGCGTTATGACGTAGTATAATTAAAAATATTTTAATATTAAAATATATGTAAGAAAAAGTTTTTCCCTTCCCCTTCATTTTCTCCTCTTTCTTTCTTTTTTCTTCTTTCTTTTCCTCCCATTTTCTCTTCATTTCTCTTCTCAACTTGAGTGAACCCATATTTTGATCACCACGTTCATCATCATTTTGACCATCCTTGGCTGCTATTTTAACCATAGTTGGCCAAACGAAGAGAAGAAAAAGGGTTAAAAAAAGACAAATCATAGGATAAAGAAGAATGCCAAAAACAAAGTCTTATAAGAAATATTCATCATCATTATTTTCCTCACTCACCCAAATCGCTACACCCATACCCACTGTTGGGATCGTCGGCGCACCCCATGGCACAGCGGAAACAAAACTCGACGATCTCACCAGTAATCCAAGTACAAAAAACTGAAATCGGGAGGAAGGGATGCGAATACTTACAGCGGGTTCCTTGAAAAACAGCAAGGATAACAGTGACATCTAGCAATATTTCATTGTCACCTAAGTTACAAGAAACTATGATTCGACGTATCATTTTGGTGATTAACTCTTTTATGTATTACATCCTTATGTTCTTTATATATAGAATATGCACAAGTCTTGGAATAGTCACACTTGTATAGTTCATCTATTGTTTCTTGACATCTAGAGTAGACTTTAATTAACGAATAGTTTATAATATCTCATATCAACTTATTCGAGCATGGCCATGTGTTTCTAGTCTTACTCAATCAAGTGGCCTGTGATATATTTCCTATTATATAGGAAGGACAAATCCTATTTTAATCATACACACCCCACTACATATATTGAGATATATTCAATAACAATCTTTATAAAGCAACCAGTTACGGAGCTTGTTTAACTGCATCAAAACATACAACAATATATGTTGGGATAGTATTGATCTCAAGCCTGAGGATCATACATATAGTTATCACCATGAGCAATGTTATGATTGTCACATAATAATCCAAGACATATGCTCATGGTGGGTCAATCCAATACATTGTTCTCTAACAATATAATCATGTATCAATTTTGACATCTCTATGTCAGTGACAACTCGTTGTCATCAATCAATAACATGTTAGTCTTAAGCGTATTATTATTGTCCATGCCCATAATAATACTTGACTAGGGATCTTTTAATAATAACAATTATGTCATTATATGGACTTTATTATCTTCCAGTTTATGTTAAACATATATGTATAACTGAAAATAATAGTGGCAATGCCTTTATTCAATAAAATCGGTAAATAAAAGTATTATTATAATCATCATATGATGATGATTGGTCTTTGGGCATACTCTAACAATCTCCCACTAGCACTAAGACCAATCACTCACATATCTAATACCGAGTGACTTAGTGTGACGATCATGCCTCTGATGTGTAAGAGGTTTCGTCAAGAGATCAATAATGTTGTCATCCGTGTGTACTCTACATATTTCCACATCTCCTTGATCAATGATCTCTCGAATGAGATGAAAGCGCCTAAGAATATGTTTGGATCGTTGATGAGATCTGGGTTCCTTTACTTGTGCAATGGCTCCATTATTGTCATAACGGATTTCTACAACATCTGATATGCTAGGAACAACACCTAATTCCAATATAAACTTCTTGATCCAAACAACCTCTTTTGCTACTTCACTGGCTACAATGTATTCAACCTCTGTTGTAGAATCAGCTACTGTGTCTTGCTTCAAACTTTTCCAGCTCACAGCACCTCCGTTAAGACAAAACACAAAACCCGATTATGATCGTGAGTCATCCTTGTCAGTTTGGAACATGGCATCAGTATAACCTTTTATACTAAGCTCTTCCTCCCCTCCATATACAAGAAATTTATCCTTAGTTCTTCTTAAGTACTTAAGGATATTTTTTAACCGCAACCCAATGATTTTCACCAGGGTTTGCTTGATACCGACTCGTCATGCTTAGAGCATACGATACATCTGGTCGAGTACATATCATGGTATACATTATAGAACCAATAGCCGAAGCATATGGAATCTTATTCATCCGTTCTCTTTCTAGTGGAGTTGAAGGACACATTTCCTTAGAAAGAGAAATGACATGTCTCATAGGCAAAAATCATTTATTGGATTCTTCCATACTAAACCTTTTCAGCACTTTGTCTATATATGTACTTTGACTTAGACCTAGAAGTCGTCTTGATCTATCTCTATATATCTTAACTCCTAAGATATACACTACCTCACCCAAATCTTTCATAGAAAAACAACTACTTAACCAAGTCTTAACATACTGTAAAATAGGTATATAATTTCCTATGATGAGTATGTCATCTATATACAAGATTAGGAAAGAAACAATGCTCCCACTAGTTTTCTTATAAACACAAGGCTCATCTTCATTTCTGATAAAATAAAACTCTTTGATTGCATCATTGAAATGAAGATTTCAGCTTTGAGAAGCTTGTTTTAGTCCATAAATAGACCTCTGTAGCTTACAAACCTTTCTAGTATTTCCTGGAAAGACAAAACCTTTCGGTTGTGTCATATACACATCCTCTTCAAGTTTTCCATTAAGGAAGGTGGTTTTGACGTCTATTTGCCAGATTTCATAATCATAGAATGCAGCTATTGCGAGCAAGATCCGGATGGACTTAAACATAGCTACAGGGGAGAATATTTCGTCATAGTCTACACCATGAACTTGTCGAAAACCTTTAGCGACTAATCGCCCATTGTATGTTTGTACATTACCATCTATGTCCGTTTTCTTCTTGAAAACCCATTTACACCCTATAGGTTTGACCCTTTCAGGTGGTTCAACCAAAGTTCATACTTGGTTTACTGACATGGAATCCATCTCAGATCTCATGGCTTCAATCTATTTCTCAGAGTCTGGGCTAGACATTGCCTCTTGATAAGTCCTGGGCTCATCTTGATCCATAAGAAGAGCATCTCCATGTGTCGTAATGAGAAATCCAAATCTCTCAGGTGCACGATGTTCTCTTGTGGATCTACGCAGTGATTGTGTTTCTAATTCTGTTGAATGCTCCTCAACAACTTGTGAAACATGCTCAAGTTCAGGTTCATTTATCTGTTGTTCTTGAACTTCTCTAAGTTCAATATTTCTACCTTCTCTTTCTTTGAGAGAAATTCTCTTTCGAGAAAAACTCCTATTCGAGCAACAAACACTTTGTTCTCGTTAGGGTTGAAGAAATAATATCCCTTAGTTTCTATAGGATATCCAACAAATATTCACTTATGAGATTTAGGTTCGAACTTTGTAGACATCTGATGTTTTACATAAGCTTCACAACCCCAAATCTTCATAAAAGACATACAGCGACGTTTCTCAGTCCATATCTCGTATAGTGTCTTTTGAACCGATTTAGATGGAATATGATTTAGTGTGAAAGCGATTGTTTCAAGTGCATGTCCCCAAAAAGAAGTCGAAAGATCACTATGACTCATCATCGATCGAACAATGTCTAACATTGTTCGATTCCTTCTTTCAAAAACTCCATTCCACTGTGGTGTACCAGGTGGTGTAAGATGTGAGACAATCTCACATTCTTTTAGAAGTTCATCAAACTCTATGCTTAAGTATTCTCCACCTCAATCTGATCGAAGTTCCTTAATACTCTTGTCTAGTTGATTTTGTACTTCATTTTTAAATTCCTTAAACTTTTCAAGGGCTTCAGATTTATGGCGCATAAGATAAATATATCCATACCAACTGAAGTCATCGGTAAAAGTAATGAAGTAATGAAATTCACCTCTGGCTTGTGTATTCATTGGTCCACATACATCACTATGTATTAACCCCAATAAATCCCTTGCTCGCTCATCTTTACTATTAAAATGAGCTTTAATCATTTTCCCCAACAAGCAAGATTCCCATACATCATATTGTTCGAAAACAAATGAATCTAAGAATCCATCTTCATGGAGTTTTGATAAGAGTTTCTCACTTTTATGGCCTAAGACAATGCCAAAGATAAGTTTGATTCGAGTCATTTGTTTTTGATCTCTTAGTATTTATGTTATAAATGGTGTTTTCTTGATCCAAAATATAGAGACCATTAACCAATTATATTGAACCATAAAAAACACTATCGAGATAAAAAGAACAACAATTATTTTTAATAATAATCTCAAAACCAATCTTGTCCAAACAAGAAATAGAAATAATGTTGTTAGTCAAACTATGCATATAATAACAAACCTCTAAATTTAAATCAAGTCCACTAGGCAAAGATAAAACATATGTCCCTATAGATAATGCAGCAACTCTTGCTCCATTTCCCACTCGTAGATCAACGTCTCCTTTAGCCAGATTCCTTATCTTTTGCAGTCCCTGTACAGAAGTACAAATATGAGAACCACAATTGGTATCTAATACCCAAGAAGTAGATATTGACAATTAACATCAATAACATAAATACCTGAAAGAAATATTCCATTTGCTTTTGCCTTCTTGACCTCTTCAAGGTAAACAGAGCAGTTTCTCTTCCAGTGTCCGGTCTTATCACAATGGAAACATTTCCTTTTTTGCTAACTCCCCCTTTGGGTTTCAATGTATTTTTCCCTTTTTGTTTGGTCTTACCATTGCCCTTAGACTTTGCCACTACCTTTTTCTTTCACTTTCCTTTGTCCTTGTGGACCATTAGAATGGGCTTAGGTCTAACCTTTTTCATGTTACTTTCAGCAGTTCGTAACATGCCAAGTAACTATGGCAAAGTATTGTTAATTTCATTCATGTTGAAATTAAGGAAAAATTTGCTAAAGCTATCTGGAAATGATTGCAGGTTAACATCGGTAGCCAATTCATCTTTGAGAGGAAATCCCAGCTTTTCCAACGTTTGGATGTAGACCATCATCTTGATGACATAAGCTCCTACAAGAGTTCCCTCTGCTATTTTGCATTGAAATAGAGCTTTATAGGTCTCATATCTCTCTTGACGTGCTTGTCCTTCATATATTTCTTTGAGATTTTGAATCATCTCATATGCAACCATGTCCTCATGTTGCTTCTGAAGCTCATGAGTCATGGTGGCAAGCATTAGACATCCAACATCTAACATATCATCCATATGTTTCTTGAATTTGTCTTTGTCAGCTTTTGAAGCATTAGTTGTCGGTTCATCAAGAACAGGTTCCTCAATGACATATTCATTCCTTTTCTGTTTGAGAACAATTCTCAAATTACGAAACCAGTCAAGGAAGTTTATGCCATTAAGTTTATCCTTCTCGAGGAGTGATCGCAGTGATAAAGTGTTGTTTTCCATTAAATCTACAACAATGGAAATATTAAAGTAAGTAAATTTACCGAATTAAAATTTATAAATAAGACTTTATTTACAAATTACTCCCACTATTTTATTCAAAATTAAAAACCCTCTTTGTTTTAATTTCGAAAAAAGTCAACGAAAATTTTTCTAGTGGGTGAGGATCCATAATACATTAATTTCCTAAATCAGCTTTGGCTTTTCTTTTAGGATAATGATTATTTAGGTAACTAACAGTTGACTAGTTACATCTAATGTAACTCTTCATTTTGGTGAACAACTTTAGTTCAAGTCATCTAATGGCTTATCCAAATATTTAACCTCTAGGTTTCTAATCCTATTAGAATAACCTAGCTAAGTTATTACCAATATTTCAACCAGTGAATACCACTTGCTTATTCTTCACGTTTAACCAAGATAGATTTATGTGCCAATGCTTTGGCAAAGCCCACACAATATCTATCAAAGCCTTAACGAGGGTAAATATTGGATGGTTAAGTTAACTTAGATCATAAAGAGGGATTTGTGTAATTATCTCATCATTGTTCGTTTTAATATTAGGCCCTTATTGATCTCATCAATATTTATTCTTATTTTATCATTTGATGCATTTCATACATAACAAATATAGCAATAAATAAGATGCAATGGTTATAGCCTAAAATAATAACTAAGGTGACCTATCCCAAGCCAATGGAAGAACCAAGAACCTTAAAGCCTAAGACTACTCTCTAGGAATCTTCTCGCCATTCTTCTGCTCCTTGTGAATCTTCATAGGTTTACAATTTTAAAAGAAACTCGTTTTACATACGAGGGAGTAAGATGAGAAGAGAAATACAAAAGAGATATAGAAAGGCACGGCTCGCAGACCGTATTTCAAATTAAACCATTATAAAGTGAACAAGGGCTATAACCATGCATATAAAACATATCATATATATATACACGTTCTTACGCCTTTGTTAAAAAAAATAAACTTTTGTTTCCATGGAAAAACTTCATGATTTGATAATAATTATCAACAAAATCGTGCTTTTGGGATTTTCAATCCCGAAGGTTTTTTGCTTCGGAACAACCATTATTCTACTTCCAAATGTGATCTGCTATCGCACTCGTACAATTATCCAACAACAAATCGATTGAAAAACATATTAACAAAGTAACATATTAACCGTTGTGGTTATCGATTCGAACAATAATATCAACATATTTACCGAAATCGATAAAACCAAAACATGCATATCATACATATCTCATCAACCAAAAATTTAACTCAAATTCAGATCGTACAAGTGGCTCTGATGCCACTGTTGGGACCGTAGGTGCACCCCATGGCGCAGCGGAAACAAAACTTGACGATCTCATCAGCGATCCAAGTACGAAAAACTGAAATCGGGAGGAAGGGATGCAAATACTTACAGCGGGTTCCTTGAAAAACAAAAAGGACAACAGTGAATACTGGTGGTGTAGATCGCTTTGAATCGTAAGCCTCCACGAAATCACGTCTCGACCTCTACTCAGTTCACCCGATTGAGAGCAATAATTTTCTTCCCCAAAACCGTTTTGAGAGAAAAATGGCTGAAGGTTTTTTGTGTGTATTCTAAAATGGCTGCTAGACCTAACACACCCTTTTATAACCAAGTTACCCTAATCATATTAGGGTTTTTATTATTTCAAATTAATTAAATATATATTTAATTAATTGGAATTTAATAATCCTTTTATATCCAAGTTACCCTAATCATATTAGGGATTTTATTATTTCAAATTAATTAAATCTATATTTAATTAATTAAAATTTAATATTCGAGATTATTAAAATATATATATTTAATTAACTCTAGATATATTTTAGTAACGTACAACAAATTGTACATCTTTACTCTTTTCAATCCTAGGGTGTGACCCTGTAGGTTCTTGTAACGTTAGCAGTAATTATTAGAACAATTCTAATATTACATACAATAAGTGACATCTAGCAATATTTCATTGTCACCTAAGTTACAAGAAAATATGATTCGACATATCATCTTGGTGATTACCTCTTTTATGTATTACATCCTTATGTTATTTATATCTAGAATAGTCACAAGTCTTGGAATAGTCACACTTGTATAGCCCATCTATTGTTTCTTGATATCTAGAGTAGACTTTAATTAACGAATAGTTTATGATATCTCATATCAACTTATTCGATCATGGCCATGAGTTTCTAGTCTTACTCAATCAAGTGGCCTGTGATATATTTCCTATTATGTAGGAAGGACAAATCCTATCTTAATCATACACACCCACAACATATATTGA